CACAAGACTTGTTTGGCAACGTTTGATACAACACTTTAAGTGACAATTGATTTAAATCCGGGTCATCAACTTGAGCTTAGCTTTACCTGGTTGTTTCGCGGTCATTCTTTTTAGGATATTTCTTTGTTTCCTTCTCGTTATATATTATTGTCTATTATATATGTTTACTACATGTTTAATGTATATATATATATCTTTGAATGTGTAATATATGTGTTTACTAAATGTTTAATTTGTTTCACATATATGTTTTTTTTATTTTGACTGCTTTTTAATGTTTAATATTTTGTTGCACTCGGCGGCATCGTATTTGCCATGGGAAATGTAGAAAAATTATTGGTTTTTCAAACAACACACTTGTTTTGATTTCCGAAGTTAATTTGCTTTGTTGGTCCTCGATCTTGTTTCCACATTTGGCTTTGTGGCACTTTGGGAAAGCAAAGCGAACTACGTTAAATTGTTTTCCTCTGAACCCGGATAACTTATTATACTAAATTCTGTGACAATTTCGTTCAAACTCTGCCAGTGTTTCATGGGCTGGAATAGAACTTGTCTAAGAACATTCGTATTTTTCGCAGCCCCACAGCCACCGCCGGTACCTGGTAAGTTGCGAATTAGAAAAGAAATTTCGACATTAGTAGCCGGAGTTGTCGGAAGTTATTTATTTTCGAGACAACTTGAATGTGGTTTGACCTTTGTACGAAGTACAATGTGCATCGCGACATTTAAATTAGGGTTGACAGCGGTTTATTAGAGCCCACGTGTCTTTCTTGGTTACGCGTTACTGAAGTGGTTAATGGGATTTGTTCAACTACTAAGAGTTGACCAAATAATAACATGTCTTCTGGATGCCGGAGGTTATGGCGACGTGAACGAGTTGAGAACAGGTGGCCGGACTACGAGGAAAATAATCCCCAAGGAACTGAATCGGCAAACCATTAAGCACATTCACTCAAACTGCCAAATGAAGTCGCGTGGTAGATTGACAGGAAATCTAACTAAAAGTCTGCCAGTTGGTAAACGGGATTTGTACTGATTTATCTCGTGGTAATTAAGGCGTTGCTAGCAGCAAACATTATCACTACAAGACATACAACATCGCTAGCAGAACACGGTTGAACTTTCCATATCACTTTCGAATCGTCTTTTTTCAAGCCAGGCGGACAGAATCAGGCAAGTCGCAAGTCTACATGTTATGAATTGTG